CTCTCCCGTCTATCAAGGATGTCCAGCCATCCGGTCATGTCCATTTTACTTCCTTAACTTCTCATAAATCTACACCCCTTTTATTAACCCAAGTCCTCTGACCAGCCAAGGTTACTTCTAAGCCTGTACCACTGCCCCTCCCCCGCCGCCCGAATCCCCATCCTCGGTTTAGAAACTGGTCCTTTCTAAAACACGTACTGGATTCTTTTCTTTCCTTCTTGAAGCTCTTCCCCTGGCTCCCTCCTACACACAGGAAAGGGTACTAATTCGACAGCCTGGCGTGCCAGGCTCTTTATGACCTTATCCTGCTAACTACACCTGCCTCAACTTCAGTCCCATGTTTCACTTAACGGTTCTAAATAACAAACATTCTCCATCAGGAGAGTCAGGAGCGGGGACTGGTGAGAAAAGAACAAATAGTTACAAATACAAAGATTTTGGTTGTGGTTTAAATTAAATAAAAACACTATCAGAAGGTAAATTATTTTTGTCATTCTTTCCCCTTCCTGGTCATTTCTCACTGGCTCTTGTTCTCCAAAAATAACCTTCTCTCCTTTCCTCTTTTTCTCCCTCCCTTTCTCTGTAACCCAACCTTCTCCCTACCCCCTCCACTGTATCTGTCCCAGAATTCCAATAGCTCAGGGGGCGAGAATCACCTACATTCCAAACGGAATAGACACTCCGGCTATAGACTATATTACGTTTCAGGACCACGGAGAGCGGCGCATGTGTCTACCTGGGTCTTGACTGCTTTTGGGGTCTTCACATACCCTGTTAGTTCCATCTCCAGGCAAAGCACTTACTTCTCTTTCTTCACTTGAAAAAGTCCCCCTCGCTCTTTCAGTACCATCAACTTGGACATCACCTCCTGCCGGAATCCTGGTCACTCCCAACCCGCCACCCTACTGTGTCGGGTGAATACATCTCCCCTTTCCCAGCATGCCCTGAGCTGTTCATCCTTCATCCGGTCTACAAATATTTCAATATGGATTTTGTACCAGCAACTCATCTAGGCTTGGCAGATATCTGTAAAGTTCTTTGTCGTTTGGAGTTTACATTCCAGTGGGAAGGGGCAGAAAACAAGATGACTGACAATAGCGGTAGTGCCAAGAAACAATAATAAAGTAAGGAATAGGATAGCAGAGGGAGCAAGGCAACGTTGCATGCTGTGGTCAGAAAGAGAAACTCTGAAGGGGGAACATCCCGCCCTGTGAAAATCAGGGGGAAGAGACTTCTGAGTATGGAGGCCTAGGGAGTGTCAAAGTCCTCGTCTGGGGCTGAGATTTGCATTTTCAAGGAGTAGCAGGAGGCCAGTGTGTCTGAAGTTACAAGCAAAGGAGAGAGTGTCAGTGGGTTAGGAAATGAGGTCACAGATCTGAGCAGTAGCTGAACCATGAAGGGCCAGCAGGAGGAGTTTGGATATACTCTAAGTGCAATGGAAATCCATCAAAGCACTGAAGAATTTAAGCGGCGTGGGACAAGCTTTGATGGATGTGCAGTTGGGGGCTGTTTTATGAGTAACTGCCGTGGACTCTCATCCAGGATTCAGCCATGTCTCCAGGACCCAGCACAGAGCCTGGTATGTAGGATGTCTCTGTAAATGTTTGATGAATGAATAAATGAGCACATGCACAGAACATGTTTTTCAGGATCAGGGGTTAATATGGGCCATTCCCAGAAAGCACGCCTTTTATGATCTGAAAAAGGAAAATCAATGCCACACCAGCCTCCCCACCTCATCTCTCACCGAACCCAGTGAGCCATCTGATTCTATATTGATTTTTCTGTCAATATTCTTCTCCTTCAAAGCCATCCTGTCTTCTTTATCCTCCCAGCCACAGCTCAGCCCAAACCTTATTGCTCGGGCCACTACAGAAGCCTCTGCCTTGGTTTGCCCATCTTCCTCCAGTCCATCCCCAACACAGCTCCCTGAGGGGTGTTTAATGCCAGTGTCACTCTACCCCTCTCCTGCCGCAACACTTCCACTGTTTTCTTTTCCCTGGACTGAATGCCAACTCCACCAGTTCCCTGACTTCAGGCAACTCCTCTCTCTCTCTCCCTCCCTCTCATATCTTGGTTTTCTCTTTGGGAACATGAGGTGATTGGACCAGATCATTCTGTTCTGAGATCTAAGATATCGGTACTATTTCCGTCCTTCCCCCTCCTTTTCAAATCACCTTTTTTATGACTTTTACGGGGCAGTGTAGTGCCATAGTGAAAGCCTTGGTTGGAATCCACCCTCCATGATGGAGCAACTTAACTCTGACTGCTTCTGTTTCCTCAACTGGAAAATGGGAATAATAATGATGTCTGCCTTACCAGGTGAAGAAAAAGCACATAGAACTTCCCCAGACCATGGCACTTGATAATGCATTTATTATTATGGTGATTGTTGTTACTACTGCTATTTGTGTATCTAAAACTACCATGTACTGTGCAGCTATTGTTACAGACTAGCCACTGGGTGGGCCCTTCACACCCATGACCTAGACCAGGGGTCAGCAAAAATACGATTTGTCCCACCATGTGTTTTTGTATGGTTTGTGGGCTAAGTGTGGTTTTTACATGTGTTAATGGTGTGGAAAAACAAAACAAAAAACTATTTCATAACTCATGAAAATAACATTGAATTTGAATTTCAGGGTCCATAAGTAGTATTATTGGAACAGAGACACTCTACTTCTGGTTGCTTCGGCCCTGCAACCCTACAGCTCCCAAACCCTGAAATATTTGCTGACCCCGACCGAGATTTGTCCTCTCAACAACTCCACAGAGGAAAGCTGTAGCACACACAGTAAGTGTGGGGATTTGAAGCCCATTCTTTCCAGGTTCACAGCAGCATATGCCTTCAGGTACCACACCCATAACCTTGAAAGTATATGGTGGAGCCCTGGCTGATGGGGGCAGTGGACTGGGTGTCATTCTGTGAACCAAAAAGTCACCTGTTCAATTCTCAGTCAGGGCACATGCCTGGGTTGTGGGCTGTGTCCCTGGTTGGGAGCATGTGAATGTTTCTCTCCCTCTCATTCTCCTTCCCTTCCCCCCTCTCTAAAGATAAATAGAATCTTTTTTTTTTTCCTAAGTCTATGATGGATACCTTGGGATGGGTGCATAGGTCACAGTCTATGATATGAACTTGAGGAAGGGATTCAATCGCCTTCAGATTGTTACATTAGGGGCCTGACTCCCAGCCCTGACACCACCATTAATCCTCAAGGTCCTGGCGCACTGGTATGAACAGGTTTTCGTGATGAGAAAACCCTCTAGTCTAACCCCAGCTCTGCCATTGACTAGTCAGGAGGCCTCGTCTGTTTCCCCTGCCGTGAGCCACAATCAATGGGATTTTCTTTCCGATGTTTTGGGTGGATTAAATAAAGACTCCATGCCCCACTTTCTCTCTCTCTAGGCCACTACTTTTTTTTTTTCATCGGAAAAAAATGACAAGACCTTTTGCTCTGACACTCTGGGATGGTGCGATGCTACATGTCTTATTTTAGCTCAGTGTCTGGCTCCACACGCTGTGATTCAAGTTTGCACAGAGGTTGCATCCTGTTTTCCCTAGAAAAAGTCTTGTCAGGTTAGGTTAGAGGCACAAGGGAGGTTTAGCCTGGAGAAAGCTGGGTGAGGAGCAGGAAAGGGACTGGGGGAGGGGCTATTCAAAAATTCACCTTTAATTATTTGCAGAGCCACCTCTAAAGGGGGAGCTGAGTGGGGGGCCCCAGGGGACAGAATATTAAATCTGATAAAAACAGATCTCTACCCCTGATTTTAGCCAAAAGGCTGAGAAGCGATACCCAGGGGACAGAATGGAAATGAGACGTACGATGGGGTTTGTTCATAAAATATCAACTGGATTAAAAGGACCTGAATGAAGTTTAATTAAATTACGTTGAATTAATTTGAACTGAATTGAAGAATTGAGTCAGAATAGATTGGGGTTAGTTGGCGCAGATGGATGGAGTTAATCGCATTAGAGCTGACCTGATCTGGGTTGACCTTACCTGGGTGAGACTGGACTAGACCAAGTGGAGCTGCATTTTAGACGAGGGGAACATGAGAAGGACTCTAGTCTAGAACTCAGGACACTCGAGTCCCCAGGCACTAGCTTATTCTGGAATCTTAGGCAAATCTCTGCACAATCCAGGGCCTCGGTACCCCCATTTTATTAAGTAAGTGCTAATAATAACTCCTGAGCAGAGATGTTATGAGAAGGATTTGAGATCGCTCATAGCTTAAAAAACAAAACAAAACAAACAAACAAACAAAAAAACCACCACTATGGCCCAGGCTGAGTAATTCGGTTAGTTGTTGGAGCATCGTCCTGATCTGCCAAGGCTGTGGGTTCGATGCCCGGTCAGCACACATACAAGAATTAACCGAGATGTGTATAAATAAGTGGAACAACAAACTGATGTTTCTCTCTCTATCTCATTCTCAAGTCAATAAACAAACATTTTTAAAAAAGAAAAACAACTATACACACATCATGGACTCTAGCTAATGACATGCATAGTGAAGTATTTAGGGTAAAATGTAATGATGCCTCAACCCACTTTGAAATGCATTAAAAGTAGTGAGGTAAATAATAATACGATAGGTAGAATTATAGCTACATGAACAGATATGGGACAAAGCAAGTCTAGTTCCATGGTAATGGCTACCCTTAAGGGGTAGGTCATGGGTGTTCACTCCGAAATTTTTCCCTTTCTATTTGAAAAGTTTTCAGACAACATGTTGCCCAGGAAACGAAGAGCCTGTTATCCTCTCACAGGGCTGTGAGGATCAGCACAGAGCCTGGCACCTAATTAGCACCTAACAAGCATTCGCTGTGAGTGCGGCCTCTGGGAAATGGGCGCTGCCCTCCCGCTCTCACACGGGAGAAAAGCGGGGCTCAGAAAGGTTCCGCAACCCCTCCAGGGCTACGCAGCAAGGAGAAGGGGCCTCGGGTGCCTGTTTTCCAAAAGGGCCCCCCAGCCCGTAAGTCCTGTCCTTGGGCTCACCCGATAGGATGAAGAAGATGCCAGAAACGAAAGCCAGAATGGTCCTCTGCGGGCGGATGTGGCCGATGTTGCTGATGACGAAGGCGGTGAACACGAGGAAGAGACTGACCATGGGGAAGGGGGTGGCTGTGCGCACTGTCTCTGGGGGAGGGGGGAGGGAAGAGACGGGGGTGAGGGGGACAATCTGCGGGGACACCTCCCCACTTCCCTGACCTCTCCATTTCCACCATCCGCCTGCCCCTTCACTTTAGGTGGTTTCTGCCCTTTCTACAGACTCTTCCCCTGTCTGATAATCCCCCTGCAGACTCCACCCCTTTACCCAGACCACACCCGCTTTGGCCCGACCCCACCCTCCCTGTTGGCCCCACCCACTGCCTAGGCCCCGCCCCCTTCCACCGGGCTTTCCCTCCTCCTCCCCCATTGACTCTGCCTTCTTTCCAGCCTCCACTCCTTCCACCCCACCCCACCCCTTCCCTGATCCTGCCCCTTCGCCCAGGACCTGTCCTGTGTCCCTGCCCCCTTGTTTCCTAGGCCCCCTGCTTCCCCTCACTCAGAATATTCTCCGTGTTTTCCGTCACCAAGTTGATCTCCGGTTCAAGAAAATATTCCGAGGCCACGCAGCGACCCTTCTCCCGACCTGGAGGGATGACAAGAAGGCAGCGCTGGATGAGAGGATCCTGCGCTCTGGAGCGGCAGTCAGGGGCATGATGCACAGTGGGAAGGACCCCAGGGTGGGGGTGGCTTAATCCATGGGTTACAGAGGGCGTGGGCAGGAGGTCCGGGAGCTCCTGTTGCCAGCTGCCCCGAAGACCAGACTCATGGATGGAGGGCAAGGCTGGGACCCTGGGTCCCAAGTGAGAAGGGGCTGTGGGCCACGACTCCTGGATCCCTAAAGAGAATAAGGGAGTGGGTGGCAGGGTCCTCGAAAGGGGGCAGCTTCTGTGACCGCTGGGAGACAGGGATTTCTCTACCCTGTCCGTTCAGCAATGGAACTGTCCAAGGGACAAGTTCTGAACATGGATTGCCACTTCTAACGGGGAAGGGGGACGCTGCGGTTCCCAGGGGGTGAGGGACCAGGAGACTGTGTGAGCGCGGAGACTCCGAGACCCAGAGAACAGAGGGCTAGAAATTGGGTCTCCATGTAGGAATTTGACACTCGAGGACAGAAACAGGATCAGTTTCTGCATTTCTGGAACCCAAAAGACGGAACTAAGGATAAGAACTCTCGGACCCCATGCGTTCAAGGCAGGGACGGTTGAGTGGAGAGCGGCTGAGGTCGGTACCTGCGAAGAAGCAGACACGCCAGAGGCCAGCGTGCAGCGCCATCTTGACCTCCGTGGTCTGGTTCTGCGGCAGCACCGTCCCCTCCTCCATGTACAGCCAGTAGTCAGTGCTGACCGCGATGCCCACCAGCAGGAGGCCGCACGCACCAAACACGCTGCTCAGCAGGGTCAGGGCGCGGCTGCTGCAGTGACTCATCCTCAGTGGCGGGGGGCGCCCTGCGGGGCCTGAGGGACAGGAAGCTGCCCTGGGGGGAGGCCTGATGGGACCCACTAGAGTCCTCACCCCCATGCAGAGCCAGCTGGGACACTGGACCAGGCCAGAGACACCGATCCCCAAACCTCTCAGATCTGACTCCCCTGTCCTGACCCATGACTCTCCCTGGCGTTAAACCAGTGACACCAGTTGTTGACCTTCCACGCTAGCACTGGCCTTCCCCAATCTGACGCTTGCACTCTGGCTCTGGATCCCGATCAGAGACCCCACACTAGACCCGCAACCCCGGGATAAGATTCCCAACCATAATCCTCAGCCCACACCCAGCGACTGGCCCTTGGCTTCAGCCATGCATCTGGACCCGGGAGCCAAATGTCATGGCTTCCACCAGAAATTCAGTTTCTAGATTCTCACCCCCAGAACCAAGCCCTCCAGCCTGAACTGCATGCCCTGACCCAAGACCTTGACCACAGACAGTGGAACCCATCAACATCCGTAATCCTGAGCCGGGGGCCATGACTCAGAAGCTGGTATAATGACTCTGCCCTGATGCAAGCTACAAACTCTGAATACCAGACTCCAACAAGGGCCTGTGACCTCAACTCTCAGCCATGACCTAGGTCCCTGGACCCTGAGTGTTGAAATTTCAATACTGGATGCTGAGCAATGTGACCTGTGTAGAAACCCTAACCCAGGCCACCCAATCCTGACTCCGTCCGCTGATCCCTTCCCTTTGGACTCTGTCTCTGAATAGAAACCAGAAATCCCCCAAGTGGGTCACCAACAAAAGACCCTAATGCCATATCCTGGCCTCAGTCCCCTGACCTCAGGCTCACCAAAGACCTTGATCAGCGGCCCTCACCTAAATTTAATCTCTTAGACTCATATCTTGACCCTTATCACCCAAATCTAACACCAGGAACTTGACTCATGACCTTCTAACGCTGATCCTGTGTCTTGACCTTAATTTGGTACCCTAATCTGAGATTCCAGAACCTAAGTCCCTCCAACCCCCAATCCAGGCAGGTCCCCGAACCTGGGATACTGGAGCTCCATCCCAGGCTGCTAGATCCCAGAACACTGAGCCCAGAAACCGGGAGCTAGGATTTGAACAGAGACTCCCGAATGTCAAAACCGTGATATGGGAACCTGCCCCCCCCAACCCAGCACCCTAACTGGAGCACTCCAGTCAAACAAGCAAACCCCCTCCACACTAGGGAGCAGTGCGATCTGAACTCTAAAATCCCAATCAGGAAGACCAGTATCCCATCTCCCTTGTCCTCCATCACAAGACCCCGAAATTCCCTACCGGAGATTGTGGACTCGAATCCCCATGCTCAGGCTGTGATCCCTGTAACGCTCGACGCTTAAACAAGAGCTCTCAGCCTAATAGCGGCACGCTCCACGCCGCGCCCCCCCCCCCCCCCCCCCCCGCGACTCCTATCAGGAATCTGGAGGCTCCAACTAGGGTGCTCTTCATCCCTTATCCAGCACCCTCGCCGCTACCGTGAACTTCCCCCGAAACTAAGCCATCTCAGGATTTGGGGGGACTCAGTACGGGATCCCCGCCCAATCTCAACTCAAGACCTCTACACCTCCGAATCCCAGAGTCCTCATCATCTTTTTAACTATAAAGGGTAAGAGCCCTAAACAATGCAGCCAAAATTCGAGACACCACTTTTCTTTCTTTAACCAGGATACCGATAGCCTTGAAAGTCTGCCCCCAATAAAGAGGCAGAGACAACCCGCACTACTATCCCCACTTCAGTATCCAGTGTCTCCCCCCCATCCCCGCCCCCAGCCTCCTGGAGGTCAGGGATCCCAGCGTGGCGGAGCTCCGACCCGCTTTTCCTCCCATCCCCCGCCCGGCGGTGGCTCCGGGGCTTGACGGCCAGCGACCGGCTCCTCTTCGAGCCTGCTCAGCTCGGGAACAAACCTCAACAACCCAGCTACCCTGGTTTGCCTTAGCTCAGGTAGCTGACCTCAGCTCCCGCCATTGGCGCCTCCGACTCCGGCGGACACCCAGCTCAAGGCCGCCAAATTCACTTCCCCGTCGGAAAGCCCCTCCTTCTTGGCTCCGATCCCTCCTCACTCCAAACGGCCCGCCCGGACCTCGACCTTCCCCGCCAGCTTCCAGCCTCTCCCCTTTGGGACCCTCCCCCCCAGGCCTGGAGCCTCCTTCTCAGGCTGTTCCCCGGCCACTCCTGCCTGGATTGGAGCATTCGGATCCCCGGGCGCCCCTTCTCCAAGCCCAAGTCCAAACTCCATCTCCCTCCAGCCTCACGGGGAACAGACCCCCGCTTTCCGGGAACCCCTTCTCAGACTCACATCGAGCCCACAGCGGGCCGGGCCCTCCCCCTGCTCCAGGACCGCCTCCCTCGAGGACCCGGTTTGCACCCTCCCCAGGGCGCACGGTCTCTACGACTCGGACGTGAGGAGTGTAGTTGCCCCGCTCCGGACCCTCGGACCCCGTCCTCCCTAGGCCCAAATATCCCTCCACCCGCCTAGCCTCCCGAAGTCGGGCGTCCGGAACGCTGGAATGCCAACTCCCCGGAGCCGCACAGGCCCCCTTTAGCCCCAACCCCCGTCCCCCAGCCACCTCCAGGGGAACCGCCGCCCCCCACACCTCCGTCCGGGACCCTCCCCTCGCTCTCACCTCGCTCAGGGCTGGGCGGACGCTCCGGGCCGCGGGCCCCGCAGCCGCATGACCGGCCCCGCGGCTTCCCCCGGCCGCCGTCGCCGCCCCCGGGGTCGCCGATGCCCGCGCCCCCCGCCCCCGCCCCGGAGCCCGGCGTCCCGGCCCCCTCCCGGTCTCCCACCCCCCACCCCCCGCGCCCGCGGCCTCACTCGGCGGACGACGCCGGGAGCTGGGACCGGCGGCCGCTCATTGGCTGCCGCGGAGGAGGGGAGGGGCGGGGAGGGGGGCAAGGATGCGGGAGGGAGGGAGGGCGACGGGCCTTGAGAATGGGGGGTGGCAGGGAGGGAGAGGGTAGGAACCGAGCGGAGCACCGACAGGGACAGGGGCGCCCGGAGGGCTGGGAGACAGCAGAGGACCAGGTGCACCCAGACCTAAAGGCTGAGCAATCCTGAGACTCACAGGTCTGGAGACGAGCAAACACAGAGGTGGCCTAAAAGAGAGAGAGAGAGAGAGAGAGAGAGAGAGAGAGAGAGAGAGAGAGAGAGAGAGAGAGAGGAGGTGGGGCAGAGCGCGGGTCCCAGACCCCTGCGTCCCCAGGCTCAGAGACTCTGGGGCGCTGGAAGTGGAGAGGTCAGGCAGCAGAGACGGAAAGAGACACGGGGCGCCCAAGAGGCCTTGGGCTGAGCGATGCTGAGACCCAGGCACCTTGAGCCAGGCAGGGAGACAGAGACAGAAAGAGAGAGACAGAGAGAGACCCTGAGAGGAGAGGGAGCAGGGGCAATCCTTGGGGTCCCGTGATGAGGGCTGGCGCTCTGGCCGGGCCTGGGGTGGAGCCTGGGGTCTGAGCGGCGGGAGGAAGCAAAAGGGGGCGTCCCAGGCCGGGGTCCCCAGAGCAGCAGGCGGGCGCAGAGCGGAGCCGGGTCCTGCAGCCGCCGCGGAGCCGGGAGCCGGGCCAGCACCCCCCCCCCCCGCCGTGATGTCAGCGGGGCCACTCTTAAAGGGGCAGGCCGCCCGCCGAGGGTCGGAGCAGGAGTGGGGGGGTGGGCGGCGGCTGGGAGCCACGGGCCCTGGGCTGGGGTACACAGTGGTGCTGGAGGAGGCAAAGGGAGCCCCAGCACCCATTCCGGAGATAGAGTCCCGGAAACCCAAGAGGAACGAAGAGACTCCGGGGCTCCCCGAGGGAGCCTGCAAAGCTTTGGGGCTCAGTCCTTCCAAACACACAGACAGAGGCACACCATTCGACCAGCCTACCCTGTCCAGAGACTACAGTTCCCGTCAGTACTGGCGGCGAGGGGGGCCGCCCATGGGGGGAGGGTCCGCCGCCGCGTTGCCTGCTGGGATGTGTAGTCCATCTGCACTACCCTCTCCACTCCCCCCAACGCGCAAGTGGGTCAAGGGAAGGAGGAGGCCCGGGGGCGCGTCTGCCTGTCCGCGGCTTCAGTCGCCGATCCTTCCGCGGACAAGTTCTGGTCGTTTAGGTTTCTGTGTCGTGGGGTCAGTCCCTGTGATCCAACCTCCAGGCGCCGCAATGGGAGGCTTGCCTTTCATCTCCCTGCTGAGGACTCCCCAGTGCCTGGGTGTGTGCAGTGTGTGTCTGTGAGCTTGTGTGAGGCTCCAGGTGAGTATGTGCGTGCTAGTGCCTCTGTGCTCCGGGTCTCTCCCTGGTGCTTTCGGTGGGTTGCCACCTCCTCGCGCGTGTGTGCCCTGTGGTCCCCTCTGTGGATTTGTCTGCCTCCTTATGGGTCTCTGTCCCTCGCTCTCACGCTGTGGGTCTCTTCTCTCCCTTCGTGGCTCGCAACCCTCTCCCTCCCTCTCGGCCATCCCCTCCCATTCTGTCCCTCTGTTTGTTTCCATGTGCAGTCGTTGTCCCACCTCCGCACGCCCTTCATTCTCCAAGCTTAGAAGGAAACATCCAAACACCTCAGCGTCAGCATCCCAAATTTATTCTCCAGCAGCTGAGGCTGGATGGAGAGGCAAAGAGGAGAGGAGGTGGGGGAGTCCCCCAGAGGGGGGAGTGGCAGGCACGGGGTGGGGGCGGGGTTCCGAGCAGGACTGGAGCCATGCACCTGGCAGGCGGGCCGGGCTGGGTGGAGGATGGGGGAGTCAGTCTAGAAGGAAAGCTGGTTGAGAGGAGTGGGGTAAAGGATCCTCCGCACACCCCAGGCATCCCTGGAGCGTGAGAGGGCACTGGAGCACCGGGGCACAGCCTCCCACTTACTCCAGAATGAGGTGGGGATGGGCAGGACCGTGGAGGTGGGTGCTTGTCTGGGAACGGAGTCTGGAACAGCCCACCCCATGAGACTATTTCCCAGAATGGAAAAAAAGAAGCGGGAGGAAGGGGAGGAGGAGGAGGGGAAGAAGAAGAAGAGGAAGAAGGAGGAGGAGGAGAAGGAGGAGGGGGGAAGAGGAGGAAGAGGGGGAAAGGGGGAAAGGGGAAAAGGAGGGGGAGGAGGAGAAGGAAGAGGAGGGGAAGAAGGAGGAGGAGGAGGGGGTAGAGAGAGAAGGAGGAAGGGGAGGAGAAGGAGGAGGAGAAGAAGGAGGGGGAGGAGGAGGAGAAGAAGGAGGAGGAGAAGGAAGAGAGGGAAGAGGGGGAAAAGGAGGAGGAGCAAGAGAGGTTCTACCAAGACGGAGTGTACAACCCCACAGAGTGGGGATAGTGGTGGTGGTGGTGGTTCTGGAACCTCGGGGAGCAGAGTCCAGAACACCCAGGTGGGTGAGAACTAGGGCTCAGCGCGACCGAACCTAGAGCATGGGAACGCTCTAGAGACTGTATGGAGTTGAGAATGCCAGGAACGCTTGAAGGGGGCACCTAGCACCCAGGGGGACAGAGGCCAGAATGCTGGGGAGCAGGATCTAGAATTCGAAAGGAGATGGTGAAGTGCAGCCCAGGCTGGCGCGGTGGAGGGAGCCGTGGGGACATCTAGTGGTGGCAGGTGGGATTACATGACTGGCACAGGCGCTGGGCTAACGGGGCTGCGAGCATCCGGGTGCACAAAATCCGGGTTCACGTAGGTGAAGCCTTGGAAGTCGGCCTGGTCGATACTGGCCAGAACTAGGCGGTCTGGGGGGGTCAGCGCTGGTGCCGCCCGCGTGAAGAACTTGTCGAAGTTCTCGCCGCTGCGGCCACACTATGGGAAACACGGGAAGGGAAACGTGTTCTACCCGCTCCTTGGGTACCTGGCTCTGTCCCCCAGATGCATCTCCAGTCTCCCTTGGAATCCCTGCACAGTCTCCGGCCCCTGTGTCCCCCTTCAGTGGTCTCCTCGGGGGGGGAACCCCACCCCACCTCCTCACTTAGGTAGTGGATCCCCTGAGCGCCCCACCCCCAGTGAACAAGGTTTTGTTCTGGAAGGCGACCTACCGGGCGAGGTCTGAAGGGAGGTGGGATCTCCAGCCGTTCCAGCCGTTCCCAGTCGATCCAGCGGAAAAAACCATGAGCGCGGATGGTGGGTTCCCCATCCGGCCCCGAGCCCAGGCGCTTGGCCGGATGCTTGGTTAGAAACTGTGGGGAACACAGAGAGACAGACAGACAGACAAGTCCCAGACAGGGGGCCCAGAGAATGAGAGAGATAGAGAGAAAGAGACACGGATGGAGGAACAGAGAGACACAAGCATAGAGATCGGGGGACAGAAGAATAGCAAGGGGGGACAGGCAGTGTGGGGAGAGAGAAAGAGGAAGAAAGAGAATGAGTGAGAGTGGGGTAGGTGAAATCCAGACCCACAGATCCAGGGAAAGACAGAGAAGGAAAAATCAGGGCGCGAGGGGGTGAGGGCCAGAGAAACCCGGAAAGAGAGGAAGGGGATGAGGAAAGAATCAGAGAAGGGGGTGGAGGGGAAGAGGGAGAGAGGTGGGAGACCCAGAGCAAAGGGGGATGGGGACCCAGGAGACAACCCCCCAGAGAAAAGAGCAAAGACCAGATGTGAAGGCAGAGACTCAGAGAAAGAAGGGGACAGAGACCCAGAAAGAGAAGAAGGGGACAAGGGAAGAATCTCAGAGTGGGGAGAGGGGGACAGCATGGGGGGAGAAGAGAGAGAGATTGAAGACCCCCCAAAAGGGGGAAGTAGAGATCAAAAGAGAAGAGAGGAGCCAGGCAGTTAGAGACCCCGAGAACACAAACAATGAGGCCAATAGAACAGAGGGCAGAGACCCAGAAGACAGACCCTCAGAGAGCGGGATATGAACCCAATATGAAGGCAGAGACTCAGAAAGGTTGGAGAAAAGGAATCCAGAGAGAGGAGGACAGAGATCCAGTGTGAGAGTGTGTGCCGGGGGGGCGGGGGCAGGAGAAAGAGATGGAGGGGGGAATAAGGCAACAGAGAGAGAGGGACAGGGATGCCAGAGATGGACAGAGATGCAAGAGTCAGGCAGATTCCAAAGGACACCGAAAAGGGAGAGACACAGAAAGCCCCATCATATGTAGAGGGAGGCACAGGGGTAAGACAGAAACCCAGAGAGGAAGAGAGTCAGAGAGACAACGGAGACAGGAGCCAGAAGCAGAAGTGTGCTGACACCTGGGGGAAAGCTGCCGGGGGCTGTGCTCTTCCTCCCGCATTAACTCGGGAACCCCAGAAGAGGAGACTGAGGCTCCCAGAGTTCCATTGACCTGCCCAAGGTCCCACAGGAGGACAAGCGGTGGAGACAGGTTCACCTGACCCACCTGGTTCGGAAGAGGCAGGCCCTGGCCCCCAGCCCTCTCTGTGGTTAGCAGGGGAGTGAGGGCAGCAGAAGAGGAAGGCACAGAGGTCATTCCTGAACTGGAGGTGGCAGTGGGCAGTGA